TTATTATTATTATTATTATTATTATTATTATACCCCACCCATCTGGCTGGTTTTCCCCAGCCACACTGGGCAGCTTCCAGTAATAATAATAATAATAATAATAATAATAATAATAATAATAATAAGTCAAACATTAAAAACTTCCCAAAGATTAGTCTTTGTTCCATCCTTTCAAGGCCATCCACTTTAAATCAGGGGAAGAGAACCGATTCCGGCTGGGGAGCCAGATCATTATCTCTCCAAACCTTGGGACATCAGGTGATTATAATATTTCTTTGTAATCCATTAAATTTCTCTACTGCCCTTCATCCAAGGATCACAGTTTGGCTTCCAATATATATGCTGCACTTTGAAGCCCCAGGTGTTTTTTTAATAAAAAAATGGAGGTGGAAAGGAGCAGCGTGGGATTAGTTCAGAGAGCAGCGGTGGGAGATGCTTTGCTCCAGCACAGTAGAACTCAGGAGACCACTCCAACCCGCCCTTACCTGTCCCACACCTGGGATGTCATGTATGTATGAGATCAGGTGTAGGGTGTGCAGGCCTGGCTTCACCAGAACAGCTTTGCAGGGCCAAATGAGGCCTGGTGGTCCAGGTTTGACCCATGATCTGGAGATTCCCTACCCCTGTTTGCTTTTAAAGTTTGTGGGGTTTGTGTGGAGCTTAAGCAGAAAATGAAGCCAGGGAATCTTTCCATATGGCCGGTCTCCTTGTCACTGTCAATGGATGTGTCATTTTCCCTGACGGCGCCACCTGCCATAATTCCCCCTACCATTTGCCTCTCGCCAAACCATCTGCATGTTTCCGGAGTTAGGCAATAGCTTGCCTCACAACGTGACATTCGCAAGCATTTTAGATATTTTACAGCATTGTTTTCGTTATCCTTTACGCTGAACAAAATTAAGGATGGCAGCACCACTGCTTGTTTCGTTACTGTTTCTTCCACACGGTATGCTACTTTCTTCCGAATGGTGTTTTCCAGAAAGACATCGCTTTTCGTACAATTCCACCACATGTGCATAAGCGCTTTGTGTTGCCCGCAGTCTCTCCAGCACCCTGGGAGACGTTGTTTGACTATTTGTGCCTCCAGGCTGCCACTGTTTTGCAGGAGGGATTCAAGTGAACAAATAATTGCAGGGGAGTTGGCTTATTGCTATATAAAAAGGTAAAGGGAACCCTGACCGTTAGGTCCAGTTGCGGATGACACTGGGGTTGCGGTGCTCATCTCGCTTTACTGGCCAAGGGAGCCGGCATACAGCTTCTGGGTCATGTGGTCAGCATGACTAAGCCACTTCTGGTGAAACCAGAGCAGTGCATGGAAACACCGTTTACCTTCCCGCCGGAGCGGTACCTATTTATCTACTTGCACTTTGATGTGCTTTCGAACTACTATACCTATATATTGCTATATAAGTACCCTGCAAACAAATCAGAATGAATGCTACATAAAGATTGGGCATTGGCTTCCATGTTTGTGCAACTGAATCAGAATGAGTGCTCAATGAACAGGCTGTCTAGACAAAACCTGTATGTGTTAACTGCCCAGGAGCAATAGACTATCAACTCTAAGGCCCCTTCCCTACTTTGTGTACAAATAGATTTATTCTATCTTTCACAGTATATACTAGTTTTTGCAATGTAATGTTTCTTTTTTGCTATTACAATCCTCTAGTGTCTGTTTCATTTTCTGTTGCATTTTTTAAAATTGCAGAACTTGTTGCCTGATATTTTTCAAAGACCGTTCAAATTCTCCGTAATGGGGGAAAGATGAAGAACACCTTTGGGGTAATGCTGGGTCTTCATAGTGGTTGCCTCCATACTATGGAGCAGTCTAATGCAGGAAGTTTGCTCAAGCCCTGCTCTCCTGACTTTTGAAAAGGAATATCAAGCACATCTTTTGGGGAAATTTGTAACCTTACAGGCAGTGATATGGGGCTGAAAATTGTTCACTGCTCTATTTTCCCACTGAAAGTTTTGTTTCCTGGGTTCATTAGTAGCAATTAATGGGTGCCAACTGCAAATTAAATATTAGGCAAGCTTGGTATTTTCACAGGTTTTACTTTTGTTTGCTAACTGCAAGTAAAGGAAATATGCTTAATTAAATCACAGCCTGGGGCATGAGAAAATATTTCAGTGCAAAGTAAAAAAAAAATTCCAAACTTGCCTAATTTGCATTAGAAAATTTTCCCGTTCAGTTTTTTTCCAGAAAACCTACATCACTGCTCACTGGGGGGAAGTGCCTATTGTCTGTTGTTAACTAAGGATGTTTTATCTGGCAGGCTTTTTATTTTTTGAGTGTGAGTCTATGTTATCCGCTGCCTCAAGCGTTTGGACAGGCAGCAGACAAAATGACATTGGAAAATGTTGCTGGCGCCAGCCTTCCATTGGAACCCAAAGTCTCGTGGAAACAAACCAGGCAAAAAGGATTCGTCTGATATTTGATATTGCTTGTGAGAAGCCGGCTGCCAGAACGAGCCACCTGGAAGTTGGTGCCAGGAAGATACAAGCTTTGAGAGGCAGAGTCAACCGAGAGCCAAACTGCTGTTTGAAAACGAGACATGCTGTGATCACAGTGCAGCCTGGAAGCTTCGCTGGTGCGGCTCCAAGTGCCCATAACAACCGAGGGCTGCATCTCACTTTACACTTTGAAATCCAGTGTGACGGACATCCAAGGGCAAAAATACCCAGGCCTCTTATCAGGCACAGCCCTGAGACAATTTGGAGAAGAACTGAAATAATACCTCACCTCACTATTTGCAGGGCAGCGCATTCCACATAAACGTTTCTCTGCAGAGTCCTAGTCAGTGCTGTCGCTCTTCAGTTTGTTGCATATTCCATCCCTGATGTCCCATTGTGTCCCATCAGTAGCAGACAGCTTGTTGGGGCAACATCACTCACCTAGTCCCATTGCTGCATGTTCCCTCCCCTTCCTTGACCAGACTAGAACTTTGCCCAACAGAGGCCTGGAAAGTTTGGCTTAGGGGAAAATGGGAGGTGCCTCCTGGTTTTTCCTCTTTCTGTCTTTCTCCAGAGTCTGTCTCCTAATGGTCAGAGAGTGTCCTGTGTCTGCACCCCCATATTGGTATGTGAGCTGTTAATGGCCTTTCCTGGTTGTGTACAGTGCTGGCCCAAGACATTTTGCCACCTGAAGCAGAGCTCCCCAGAACCATAGTCTTGCTGCTCCAGTCAGAGTCAGACATTCATGTCTTTTATTTCCCGCTAGGGCCAGCTTGCTCATGAGGCAACTTGAAGCAGCCGCCTCAGGCAGCAGAAACCCAAGAGGCAGTGGCCCCTCTGCCCCACAGCAGAAGTGGCGCTGGTAAGATCTGGGAAGATCTTGCAAGATTTCAGTGAATTCTCGCTGGGAACTGCTGTCATTTTGCAGCAGCTGCCATGAAACCCAGGTAAGGGTTCAGGGCCACATTTGAAGACAGCCCTGTTTAGGGAAGTTTTTAATATTTAATGCTGTATTGTTTTTAACACTCAATTGGGAGCCGCCCAGAGTGGCTGGGGATACTCAGCCAGATGGGCGGGGTATAAATAATAAATTATTATTATTATTATTATTATTATGATACGCTTCCCTTTTTGCCTCGGCCGGCAAAATGGGATGTGCCACCTGATTTCCCACCACCCTCATCCTGGGCCCTGCTCAAAGCAGGTCGCCTCAACCTGCTGCCATACTAGGACTGACCTGGCATGCTCAATAGGCAAAAGTGGGAGTTGCATGCCTTTGGTGTCCAGAAGCCTATTTTCTTTGTACAAAATGCAACACGGCACGAGCCCCTGAGAAGCCAAAGAGTTAACTCTCTCTGCAGGTGCTGTCGGTGCGAAGCCTCGGCAAACAGGCCTGTCACTGTTCAGGCCCTGGAAGTGGGCCTAGAAATGCAGGCAGCTGAGGGGACAGCTGCAACTTGCAAAGTCTTGGCTTGGTGATAATGGGAAAACAAGGAGAGAGAAAAATCCTCTGTGGCTTTGTTGGCTCGCGGCCTGCCAACGGCCGCCGCAGAGTGACAGTGAGCAATGTGCCCACACTGCAGCAGGAAGAGGCCTTTGGCGTTCTGCAGCGGCGACTCAACGCTTCGTTCCCATTTCGAGTTGGCATCGCTCCCTTTTTCCTTGTGGCTTTATGTGAGAGCAGAAAACCGAATCCTCGCCAGCAAGCCAGGACTGCTTATCTGGCAGAGCAAGGACAGCCTTTGTCGCCTCTTATTCTCTTGCAATCATTAGGACTGCCAGGAGCATTGGAGCTTTGCAGTGTGGATGGCAGAGATCTGCACAGTACTTGCTTCCGAATGCTACCATCAAGGTAGAGCAGATTCTCTACCAGGTGAATATTTTGTAACATAGGAATGCAGAACCTGTGGCCCAGCAGAGTTTAGTGGACGCCACCTCCCACCTGCACGGCCAGTTGCTGAGGATGAAGGGAGTTGTAGTCCACCCAGATCTGGAAACCTGTTGATTCCCCCAACCCTCCTGCAAGATGTGCTCTGGGGTGTGTTGGGAGATGCTTTGAAAAGCATTCCAGCCCAATGGGAAGATGGTCAAGGCTCAACAACTTTCAGGGTATCCTGGTTTTTACTTTTTGAAATACAGCAACTATAGGCGCTTACTTGAGGCTGGCTCGGGCCTGCAATGGACGCGGCCTAAAGTTTTGGGTGTGCCATAAGAGCCACATTTGGTCCGTGGACCAGACCCTCACCATCTCTGCTCTAGGAGTTCCACATTTACCCATGACTGCATACGCCCATTGAGCTGTTCTGCCCCTGCAAAGCAGTTCTGAGGCCGCCTCCCAGCTCAAATCACAGAAATGCCTTTCCTAAGCTAGCAGACGGCAAGAAGTGGGGATTCATCTTGGAAGTGCCACAGCCAGGTGGAGCCCAACAGGTGGGCATTTTTATGAGCAGACTTCTTCCCCAAGTGCGCATCAGCGCCCTTCCGTCTTCTCGAACTCTTCCCCGACCCCAATCCCCTCCCCAGTGCCATTACAAACCACAACGGAGTGATGTTTATAAATTTTTATTTTCTTTTTTTAAAAAATAAGGTTGTATTTCATTTCTTGTAATGGTGTACGTGTGTACTTGTTTCCTTAGGTTAAGTAAGTTAAGTTATTAGGCAGAGAACCGACAATGTGAAACAGTTTCCCAGGGAGCCGCCGGGAAAGCGATACAGGAGTGTCACAGCTGGGAGGGAGGGGAGAGGGCGCCCTAGGAACAGAAGGAGCCTGGGGGGCAAGGTCTCGCCCAAGTTGAGCTCTTTAAAGTCCCAGAACGATTTCCGAGGAAGGAAGTGTTTAAACTCTCCCATTGGAACCAACTGGACAGCTTTTGCCAACATGGCACCCTCTGAATGTCCTGGACTCCCATCAGGCCCACGCAGGGTCTGATGGGAACTGTAGTCCAAAGTGGATATCCGGAGGGCACGAGACTAGCAAAGGCCGCAATAGGATTTCAAAGGCTATGAACTTGGGCAGGCTTGCCCCCGCTGGTGTTCCAGCGCCCGCCATATGCACACACATACGTTCTAACACTTTTTTTGTTGTTTCATTTTTAATCGTCTAGAATTACCGAGATACACTTGCAGCACTGAAATATACAAACTGAAATCAAAGCACTTGAACACGATGTTTAACGCTATAAAGTTCAGAAGTTATTATTGCACATAAGACTTAAATATGTTCTCAGGCTATAGGCGAGTTTGTTTCTCGATTCCGGTTTGTTAAACGTAAAATGCTGTTGGTTTTTTTTTTCCCCTTTCAAAAAAAAATCAACTCATTTTAACACTTTAAAAATACACATTCTTTCCATCAACTGAGCTGAGATTCAATACAGAGAAGAGAGAAAGGTTTAATAGATTGGACTAGACAGAGCTACTTTAATTTGTTTGGTGTGGGGAGACTTGCGATAAATGTGTAGAAATGATCTATTTGAGATTTGGACACTAAGGGGAAGAAGAGGGGTGTGTTTGTGTACAGGGCAAATTTCAAAAGCAGCACACCTGTGAGCCTAACTCCCCCAGTAACTAACACAATTGTCTTGCTACAACATGAAGGGAATCCCTTATGTAGAAGCAGACACACTACAGCCAATGTGGGTGAGTGTTTTGATCCACATCTCAGGGCTCATCTGGAACTTAATGGACTTGCAGGTTTCACTTGTTGGTGCAGACTGGGATGCACACCTCTGGCTGTTGTGAATGAGTGCTGGATATGGACATCACTTCCAACTGAACTCACTTCTGAAGCGTGCTTAAGAGAAATGCAACCTTTGGCTGCCATCTTCAAGTCACATGCTCTACACGGCATTTGTGCATGAAAGCATCAGAACAGGAACACATCCCAATGGCCATTGGCCAACTTTTGAGGAGGTGGTTCAAGAACTGCAGCCTACTCTCCACATTTTAAAATGAATTGAAGTCACTTCTGAATACAAGAACCTTTGGATGAAATGGTTAGCTGCAGTCTTAGGAGTTTAATGCATTGCAAAGATTTCCTTCCCTTGGATGTTAATTCTTGTCAGCTGTACTCTGGAAGAGAAGAATGGTCCATTTCCTTCCCCTCCAGCTTCCAGAATCAATGAATATCAAGGGAAAATAATATTTGCACACATGAATACCAAGAGTTCTTCCAGATATATTCATTTGTCCTCTGATCATCGGCCAGTAAGGGGTTCCAATGGAAGGCAATTTCTTGCCCACCTGAGCAAGCGATTGCTTAGCTCTCCCAGAGAGGATCAGGGGAGCTTGATCCTCAAAGCTCAAAAGAATAGAAAGAGGACTTCACCAGCTCAAAACAGCAAGGATCAGGCCCGTAGGGCTGTTTCATACATTACACAAAGGCAAACCTGGGTTTGCTACTGAGGGCACGCTCGCCAGGTAGTCACTGCCAATCACAGTTCCTTGACAAGAGTACTCGGATGACACACAGATTCAAAACATGCTATGAATGCCATACTACAGTCGCTAGTGTCAGCATACACCTAAAAATGTGATCATCTTAGGGGCAAACCTAAAAATGTATGAAGGGAGACAAGCAACCAAGAAGAGGAGCACCTGCTATTAGGGAGACCCCTTTGGCCAATTTGTTGAAGCAACCAAAACATTACATACTTACGCTCCGAAGCAGGCTTGCTCTTTCTTATTTGCACAGGGCACATGCATGAAAAAATAAATAAAATGGCGGCAATGCAGCCTGGTGTTTTCAGAAATCCGAATCTGGTTGATACTAACGGTATGATAAGAGGCTTCCTTGCTTGTCTTTTCTCACTCTCTGCCAGCACAGAGATTGCAAAACAGGTGAAGTTGTCAGAACTGCCTGATACACACAGCTCCAGCGCTGGCATGGCTGCTTGATATGGTGATGATATCCTGGCTGCTTCCCTCGGGGAAGAGACTCTTTCTTTTTTATTTCTTTTAAGTCGTCTCTGGTGTTGAATTCCCAGGCTGGCTAAGACAGTTCCTGCTCTTATTGAAAACAAACAGCATTGATGGGGCGAACGTGGTGTGGAAAGCAAAGCTGTGAAGAGGAAGAACTTGTGTGTGTGTGAGAGAGAGAGGGGGGGGGCATGCATGCGCCAAGTGTTGTTTCCTTATTTACAACATTCAGACTAGCTTGCAGGTTTGGAAAAAAAGAGTGGGATTTTGAAAAACTGGGATGATCTAACCAACCCCAGTGAAATCTAAGCAAAGTCAAGGGTTGCCAACTCCTTTCCCCAGCAGGACCCTGTCCTGAGATTCAAGCCTGCTCCAAAAGTAAGCCTCTTATCTGGAAAGACCTACCATGTAATCCCAGATATGTGAAAGAGGCCTATTTCAGATTACCCAGTAGGAAGGGGCATTGCACATGCTCAGAGGTTATTTGGACTAATCCACATACTCAAAGTTTAACCCTAGCAAAAAGGTTTGGGGAGCTGAGATTCGATTCACTAACTCGACACAAAGTCTTGCTCTCATGTCTTTGAACAGCTGCATGACAGGAGAAGCGCTACAGATAAAATAATCCCCACACTTCCAGTCATGGAGTCACAGTGATTGGGAAGTTTGCTCCTGCAGTATTTCTCTGTTCTCTGTTAGGAAAGGAGTTGGCAACCCAAGGAGAAACAGGAAGTCTTTAATTCTGCACCCAAGTCCACTTGACAAGGTGAACCCTACAGGGGCGGCAAGAGTTTCTCCTATGGACGTCATTTGGGATGACGTATCTTCTGCTTCTGCTACCCTAGAAGTCAGAGAATGTGTCACGAGGTAATACGAATCAGCTAAAAATGCATTAAAACAAATGGGGTGTAAAATTAAGGCTGGAAGCAGAGAATACGCAAAAGACATTATGTGTTCACCATAAGAAGAAAAAATGCTCTCCAATTACTTTTTAACTCCCCATAAGAAAATGGAGAGGTTTCTCTTCCATTGGCGAATACGTATGTCTTTTGTCCCATGGGGAAGTTTTTCTTTCAAAACTGGGCAAAGCTAGACAACCTGGAGAGAGAAAATAGTTCTTAAAAAGAGAGTTGAAAGTGGCATGGTTGACTTAGCGTTTTCCATGCCACTGACACTCATTCCTTTGTCTTCAGTCGATGCAATACATTTTTGAGAAGTTGGTTTTTGAGCAGTTCTTGACAGCCAAAACCTACAAAAACCTGCGATCAGACACAATGCCGGGAATGAGGATCAATCACGGGCCACCATTTGTCTGCCATTCTACCTTCAACCCTCTGGAAACAAAACAAAACCCTATCATCCGTCTCCAAGGCTGTCGTCAAAGGTGTCAAGGAGGACAAGCAATCATCAACCATAAGCCTTGTTATCAACACAGCAAGCACACACACACACACACACACACACAAAATTGTTGTCCCCCCCCAAGTTCTACAGTATTCAAGAGTGTCTGGTGTGGAAGGGCACCATCATTGCTGCTTCCCTGGATGGGGCAAACCAGGTTGGCGGGGAGAGGCGGGGGCTGTGCAAGGAATACAGGAAGAGCCAACACTGCTCCCCCTGGCATGTCTGCACAGACTTGGTCCTGCTGCCACCCCTGTGCCATCCATTAAAACACCCCATCCTGGTCACTCCTGTGTCCAAATAGATGGGCAATTCTTCCCCTTTGCATTAATTTTGGGGTGCTGCCCTGCCTAGTGAAGTTAGCAAAAATTTGCTTCCTGGATTCGAAAAATGTATTTACAGGTTATTTAAACATGCACCACTGGTAAATTCAGTCCCAGACACACAGGCAGAAGGGGGGGGGGCAACAACAGTGGAGGAGCCCTCAAAGAGGGGCTTTCCAGAAACCAAAGCTCAAGTAAGTCACTGGATAGTTGGTGCTGAGGTTGCAGGTTCAATCCCTATATGGGACAGATGCATATTCCTGCATTGCAGGGGGTTGGACCACATGATCCTCAGGGTCCCTTCCAACTCTACAATTCTGTGACTCTGTGTATTAACAAGATGCAAATGGATCTCTTAGCAGTAGAAAGGAAAGGGGGGAGGGTACAAAAATGCAAAGTCTAAGGAGGAAGAGGAGGAATTTCCCAAAGCACATGGACTGAGAAGGCCACTCCCTCCCGGCAGTGACAAGTTCCAAGTCTCGGTCAGTCATAAGCTATTATTCTCTCTGCAGAAAAGTAGAGGAAATAGTGGAATAAAGGAGGGGTGTGAAGCGTGCGGGTGTGTATATAGACGGAGACAAATAGAGAGGGAAGAGCCTAGGCAAGAAGGAAGGTTAAGAGAGGTCGACACAGCAAGGCTTGTTTATTATCACAGCTGGGCTACACAAGTGTTCTCTGTTATGGTGCCACCGCAAGCATGTGGCCGGGCTCACTGGGAGGTTTAGCTCACGTTAAAAAAAATAAAAATCCCACAGTTATTCATAATCTTTTCGTGTGTGTATTTGAAGGATATGGAGCCGCACAGAAAGCCTAGATGGCTCTACCGGAAGCGCAGTTTTTGCGTAAGCTCTGGAATGCTCAATGTAATAAGCCAAGCTGGCCCTCCCCCATTCTCCACGCACGCACACACACAAACACCCACCATCTGCTCACACTGCGTGAGGGCACCCGTGGCTGCAACACCCATGCACTCGCAACACACTCACACACAGAATCTCACACCTGCAGGAACCCACGCCCACAAAGCAGTGGGTGCGTCCAAATGCAGCAGCAGTGGGACGACCGTCTCTTTCAAAGGAGAATTTAAAGTTTGCTGTGGTGCACCCTATCCAGGCGAAAAGCCTACAGTTCTCCTGACCTGGAAAAGAATGTAGAAAAGAGCATCTTTACCTAGAAACAAAGCAGCCAATAGCAACGCCACACTGCAACCCAAATCATTCGGAAGCAAACCTCCTGGGGTGGCTTTTTTGCTGTTGATGGATATGGACCCCCCTTTTTCATCATGGGAACTTTGTTCCTAGCTAGGGATGCCTTTTTGCTGTCGGTTACCCTAGCCTGCCCCACAAATTTGCATTCCACAACCAATAACGTTATTTATCCTTTTTTTAAAAAAAATAATAATCAGTGTTTCTCAGCCAATTGTGTGCCCAAATGCCTCTATCACTCTGCCAGGGCACCGAGAGGCCAAATGGAAGCCCGTTATTCTACAGTGACCAGAGATAAAGTTGAGACAAGTTTGCAGTGCCCTTTCTTGGGATCCTCTAAATCAGCGGGCGCAATCCTGTGATCACCTGTCGGTTCTTAAATCAAGACGAGGATGCCAAGCCTCCTGTGGGGAATTTTCCAGGGAGGTAGGATTTTGCAGGACCCTCTCGGTGTCTGAGAAGTCCGTTATATGCTAGCCAAGTTTGGAACCAGCGCTGTGCTACCTGTCCCAGCCTGATATGGATCTAACATATGGTCAAAGGAAGAGAAAGGGGCTGCTCTTCATCCCTGACCTGTCAGCCGAAGTCCAGGTGATCACACCTCTTCCATTGCAACGAAGACCCAGGAATGCTTGGCAGAGCTCCTGGCCGCTTGCAGAGCATGTGCTTGAAAGCAATCTGGTGCACCAGGGTGTACATAACTAACAATGTGTAAATTGTTGGAAGCTATTGCTAGGAACCATAACACAAGAGATGATGGGGCAGGTAAACATATTTGGGGGTCTGGCTACGAGCGGAAATGTGTGATAAGACAATTCAAACATTAAATTAAATTACATTTTTTAAATATATTTATATATATAAAAAGACCACCCAAACCTACAGTGCAGAATACTTTGCCCCCTTTCCCATTTTGCTTTGATACAGCTTTGATCTCTGCTAAGCTGGGGGGTGGGAAACAAGATAATCCCCACGGCCATGTAAGGAGAATGGACTCACCCAGGCAGGTGCATACATACACACACTCACACACGCACACACAACATGTTCTGCCATAGTTAGTTACATTCAACTGTGTTTCCTGATCATCTTGTTAAGCTGTTCCTCTCCTTCGGGTTTTGACGGCCGTCTCCCAGCCCTGCAGCCAGCATCCTGACCAAACTGTGCCCTCGGCGGCTTCTACCAGATGTAGCCTCCGTCGTCGGCCTCTCCCGCCTCGCCTTCCTCCTCCTCGGCCTCCTCGCCTGCTTCCTCAGTCTCTTTCTCTTCCTCGTCTTCCCACCCGACGCCACTCCCAAAGTCCCCAGAGAATCCAACGATATCATCTGCAACGACAAGAACAACAACAGCAGCAGCAGAAGCAGCAGCATTAGTAAGGAAACGGCGGTGCGGCACTTTGGTAACCGTGGATAGTGAACCCTCGCCCTCAGAAGGCATTCATTCACTTCTTCCATGGCGAGGAAACCTTTCCACTCAACTCTACAAGTGGGGCCAATAGGAGCGAGCCAGCAGGAAATCACACCGAGCGAGATGGAGTTAACTCTTTGTTGGCAAAAAAAACCCCAGGAGTGTCAGGCCTCGGGAGCACAGCAACTCGTCTCCAGTAAGTCTTGCCCCCTCCCCCCGCTCAGAAGCACTTGCTGAGACTGAAGGTTCCTACCTCCTCACTGCTGCCTAACTCCAGTGTCTGTGAAGTTAACTCTTTATTCGAAGAAACCAAAACAGTGCAGGCCTAGAGATCACAGCAACTCTTCCTAGTAGGTCTTCCCCAGTGAAGCAGTTGCGAGGTCCCCACCTTCCCACCGCTCTATAAGGCTCCTCCCTCAATTCCTTCCCCGGCAGCCGAAGGCTCTGTTGTCTTGTCTCCCATCCCTCTGCTCTCTTCATTTCTCTGCATGTTCTGGGAGACCAGGGGGAGGGGAGCTGGTCGCGGCAAGAGGGGGAGACACTTGTGCCTCTTCACTAGCCAGTCTCCTCTCTGCCTCTTGGCCTCCCTCCTCTCCTGCTTCAGCTTCTGGACTCCTCTCTGCCACAGACTCTCCCAGCTCACTCAGTCCTGTTACCTCTTCAGCTTCCGACATCTCCTCTGCCCAGTCTTCTCCCTCTGACCGCTCATCGTGGTCCCACCACCATTCCCTGGGCTCTGAGCCTTCTTGTGGGTTCCACAGCTGGTTCTTTCCACCGTCCCTCTGAATCCAACCAATCCATGACGGGCCACATTGGAGGCCCGCCTCGTCGTTTGCAACGTGTACGTTTTGTGCTCCAACCCGCCAACAGTTCTTCCCACCTTCCCTCTCCATTCTCCTTACCACAATCTGGATTCCCATGCATCCGCGTTCCTGTTAGTTCCATGCCAAGGTGGTCCACGCACCAACACTCCCCACTGCTTGGGTCACACTGCATCTTCCGATAGTACCCATCCTCATCGCAGCTGGGGATGAAGATCCCTGGGAAAGCAAAATCAGCAACAGGGCGTCAGTAGAGTTGGGATACAATGGTTGCAGCAGCAGGACTTCATTGCTGGGAAATGATTTTTAGGATTGCTGTGTTTTGAAGAACAAAAAAGAGGGACACATTTGCCGACTTCTGCTTTTAACTATGGATCGCCATGGCGAAAAGGAGGACTTGTCCTGGAAAAAGAGGACATATGGCAACCCTAGCAGCCCACAGCATCTTGTACAACTGGGAATTTAAAGGAAGATCATACACTTTGAATAAGAAAGGAGCTTAGACTGTAAGGAATAACTGGCCAGAGTACGGACTTTATATTTAATTGTGCTTAGAACCACCTTAAAAAATTAGCTTCTTCAGTTAAACAAAAAATGATCTGACCTCAGAGGTGCTTTCACGCATAAACATATGCAGTGGAAAACGACAAGGGAAAATCTCCACACATCGATTATTTCCCTGACAAGAATTATGGTGTGCAAAAACCACTGACAAAAATCATAATGTGTAATAAGTGGATTGCCATATATGCACACGGCCAGAGCAATGCACTGCTACAAACACCCCTGGCCTGGCCTGCGACAATGAGCTGTTGCACGATTATTGCTGAAATCTGCCCAGATTGGGGATTTGCTCGCACAAATGGCTCCAGCCATAAGGCTGCTTTGAGCATGTCCACCCACATGTATGAGCTGGACCAGGCATCCCCAAACTCGGCCCTCCAGCTGTTTTGGGACTACAACTCCCATCATCCCTAGCTAACAAGACCAGTGGTCAGGGATGATGGGAATTGTAGTCCCAAAACAGCCAGCAGGCCGAGTTTTGGGATGCCTGAGCTGGACCTTAGGGAAGAGCCGTTAGATCTGCCTAAATCTTCATTTCCATGACACCATCATCTAAAACAGGTGTGGATCCTCTGGCCCTCAGCTGTGGGGCAAGCAGAGATGGGGCTTGGATGAAAGAAACCAGCACTGCCTGCTGAAGTGCCTTCCAAGCATTGACTATCAGCACGAGACATCCACAAGATCCCTTTCCCCTTCCCTCACCCATCCCCCAATAGCTCCCCAGTTCCACAACTCACCAGGTTTCTTTTTGGCTGCTTCCTGGATCTGTATCCTCTCCAGCTCCACAAGACAAGGAGGCTCTGAAACACCCAAAGCAAAACACACGTCCATTCCAGGATTGCCAAAAACCAGCTCAAAACAATCTCAGCGGAGCCGTGTCAATAAATGACCCAGTAATCTCTGATACGAGGGCCTACCTTGCAGGACTGCTGGAAGAATAATTAACATAAAATATGCAAAGTGCTCTAAGCCCTTAAGAAAAACCACTTACATAAATATCAGTGTTTCATTTACTAACAGCAGTGGTCTAACTTGCAGGGCTGTTGCAAGGATTACTGAAGTGTGTGTGTGTGTGTATGCAAAGGGCTCTGAGTTCATAAGAAAAAGCACTACATAAACGCTAAGCAAATATTCTCCCTCCTAAAAACTATTGGCAGCTCCCGGGGAGAAAATATAAGAGAGACCAGCTTCGCTGCAAGTCTGGGAAAAAGCATGCTGCTAGAGACTATCAAGGTGGGGTGATGTTTGGGGCTTCCCTTGGGGTCCAGAATTAATCTTGAAGGTACCTTATTTACAGGGATGTTTCTGCGTTTTATTAGTAGACCTTACTAATGTTCAATTTTATGGTATATTTATTACTGAGATGCCGAGATGTTTTAGTTAACTTATTGTTAAATTCTGTTGCCACTTAGCCAGTTTTGCCAGCACGAGCAAAATTTACGACGGAAAGGTGGCGTGCAAATAAAGGACAATGATCTTTAATCTAAGTGGGGCTGTTAACAAGTGCCTCTTTAAACAGCTTGAACTTAGTACTAAAGGTAAAGGGTAAAGGGACCCCTGACCATTAGGTCCAGTCGTGACCGACTCTGGGGTTGCGGCGCTCATCTCACTTTATTGGCCGAGGGAGCCGGTGTACAGCTTCTGGGTCATGTGGCCAGCATGACTAAGCCGCTTCTGGCGAACCAAAGCAGGGCACAGAAACGCAGTTTACCTTCCCGCAGGAGCGGTACCTATTTATCTATGTGCACTTTGACATGCTTTCGAACTGCTAGGTTGGCAGGAGCAGGGACTGAGCAACGGGAGCTCACCCCGTCGCAGGGATTCGAACCGCCGACCTTCTGATTGGCAAGTCCTAGGCTCTGTGGTTTAACCCACAGTCCCTGAACTTAGTATTATGCTATGGTAAAACACATCAGCCAAGAAGAGGCCTTTAGCTTAGTGCCATCAGTGAAAGATAGGGAGAAGCCCATTTGTCAGCGTGTGTGTGTGTGTCTTTCAGCATCACTTACAACAGTTGGCACTATATAAAGAATGGCGGGATATGACTGACTGGAAGGAGTCAACACAAAAGACTCTTAGGAGAAACCTTGCAGCAACGCACTTTCTCGCCAGAAGCAGAAGCACCACTCTGCGGTGGAGACGCGGCCGTCCTTGTAGGTGTCGCAGGAGTTGAAGAAAGGCCGGATGCAGATCTCGTACTTGTCCAGGTTGATGGCTGCCAGCTCCGTCTGGTCCAGGAAAAGGTCGCCGTTGGTGTCCAGCTTGGAAAACATCCAGCCAATCGAGTCTTTGCAACTGGCCACAAGGCTCTTGTCCAGCACTGCAAGCAGAAGGGGTTTGAAAAAACAACAACAGCAGAGAGTGAGAAAGAAGAGTAAGGGGGAGCGAAGGTGCCTCTGCGCATATAGTTCTAACGAGGGTCGCTTGCGCCCGCAAGTGCGGGATTTGGGTGCAGAATTCATCATCCTGAGGCCCTCAGCTTCCATTGCTCCCTCTAAGAGTGAACTCAGGTGGTTTGGAGCCGAAATGGGGTTTCTGAGAGACGAGATGGGAGAAGCAGTGTATGAAGGTGAACCTCAAAGTAAGAAGAAGTATAAAACTTAAAAAATACACCCCTAGGAGGCAAAACCACCCCAAAGACAACCCAATGGAGACTGAGCATGCTCAGCAGCTGTGGAATGTTGAGTGTCAGCTGGTAAACAAAAAAACCCAAAGTGTGTGTCTGTGTGTGCAACGGAGTATCCTAAGGATAACACGTCTGTCTGCAACTCTGAACAGGAGCACTTGCACTGAGAGGTAGATCACCTGCAGTGATTTGTTGCAGGTTCTACTCGTTATTTTAAAGAAACCAAGCAAGCTGCTAGACCTTATGGCTACAAAGACAGGGGTGATTAAAAACGTGTAGGCGATGCTTAGGAGCTACACAAACGAGAAGCCAAGCAGAACACCCTGTGGCTGAGAGGCAGGTGCTCCTGGAGTGCCTTGCCGGTCCTCAGAGAAGCTGCATGTATTATGCAAATAGGCTTGATCTGCATAATTTATACCGATTGCAGGGTTCCGTCTTCCTAGTTGCAGAATTTTTACTTATTTAAAAGCTCGTGCGTTGACACAAGCCTGTGCATACACACGGCCTCTAGTGGAAAGGCTGTCTGTCGATGCTGCTGCTCATCAGGATTCAAACGTCAGGCCTGCAGGCCTGAAATTCTGCACCGGAACCCCAAAATACCGCCATCGCAGTTCTGCTCGGCAAATACATGTTAAGCATGTATGGAGCAGAGGTGAACAACTGCAGGCCCACTGGCAAAATCTGGTCCTCTACAAGGTACCAGCTGCTACCCCTCTCCTTCCTGAAGCCAAGCTAGAGGCAGAAGATGCAAGGAGGACGTGGCACACAGGGCAGCAGAAGACAGTGGCAGCCCGCCTGAAAGGGTCATGGCTGCGGCGTCGGCCTGCCACGCTCGGCTCGCTTCTCAAAGTGGCCCTCTAGGAAAAGCAGCTGCTGTTGAAGGAGACGGGAGCCTTGCCATTTCCCCGCACGGCCTGCTTCACTTCCTATCTCCTACGTAGTTTGTGATGCTGCTGCCAGGCTGGTTCCAGATGGACTTCCTCGCCGCTGGAGGTGAGCCACGGCGGCCCACTGCTCTGCTTACGAAAGCCGAGGGATGGGAGCGGCAGAGCCAGCGGTGGCACAAGGGCATCGCCCTCCCAACGCGGCAAGACTTCATGCAATGCATCAGGCCCGCCTGTGGGAGAAGCATGAGGCTTGGCGGTTTCTGTTCACTGACATTTAAACTAATGATCTTCCTCCTGACCGGTCGCACTTCACGTTCTGCGTGTGCTCTGGGACCAATCTGCCAACTCTGCTCAGGGGCTGGGGACTTGCTTAAAACAAACAAGTGCGCAAAGACCTTTACCTTGCTGTGCTCACACAGCAACTGGCAGAGTGTGGGTGGCCCACACAGAAAGCTCTGCTCCGTGGAAGCAGCCAGGAGATGAGCAGGGTTGCTTGGTTTAATGTACAAATGTGCATTTGCTGATGACAAACCAGTCCAACTTTCCATGCTAAGCACATTTTTCCTTTCATCACACCAACTACAAAATGCATAATAATAATAATAATAATAATAATAATAATAATAAATTTATTATTATCATTATTAAAATTCCACAGACTTGTCATTAGAGCATTAATTTCTCAGATCAGCTCTGAGAACAAAGTATTGTGTTTCAGCTAATGAAAATGTGGCAAATGGCACATGTAAAGCTGCATTTAACGCACCGAATCTGACTGGATGAACATGATGGTGACTCAAGAACTGTTTAGTGCAGAGATGGGGAAGCTGTGGCCCTACAGAGTTTATTGGACTACATTGCCCATCATTCCCAGCCAGCTTGGTCGGCAGCTGGGGTCAATGATGGGATTCGTAGTCCAGCAGCATTTGGAGCGCCGCAGATTCCCCGTTCCTGATCTTATGGTATATAAACTAATAGAGTCACACATAAAGACCAGTTTAGTGCCGAAATACGACAAGCTGCTGGCATCCAACAAGTAACTGCTCAGCCAAAGCAAAAACAATTTAGTTTCACAAGGGAAAATAAAAGCTGACACAACAGGGGGAATAAAGATTGACGGAACCAGGCACATCTGCTGCGCCAGCTCCGGTGAAATAAATGAGCCTGTGGCTCTCGCAAAGTCCTATTCATTGCAACAAGGCTGACCCTCTCTAATAGGAGTTGTTGAAGGGCTGATTGTGGTCACCTTCCCCCGTTCAGTGCAGAACACAGAGCTTTCTGGCGGAATTTTCCCACCGGTGTTTCTGCACTGCTGACGTTACAGCTGAATATGTTCCTGCGTCTTTCACACCTGAATGAAACAACGTTCTTCTTGGTATAACTTAGAGGAAATAGAGGGGTTAAGCCAAGGGGCGGGGTGACCAGTGGCCCTCCAGATGTTGTTGGATTACAACTCCCTTCCATCCTTGTCCATTGACTATACTGGCTCTGGATGATGGGAGAGTAACCCCTGAGTTAAGCCAAAGTATGCATTCAGAAATATCCTATTGCGCATAAGTATCCCCAGGACTGTACCACTTCGTAGATTGTGAATCACACGTTTCAGCATTATCCGCTATCAAAAACTCCCTGTGTGTGGAAAACCAGCCTGCCAGGAAGAAATATATAGAAGAAATATGGGCGTTATTCAACAGAACTGTTGCATTAACACAACTGGGTCCCCGGCCGCTGTCCTCAAACCTACTCCAGAGAGTTGGAGGAAACCCCAGAAGAGATTTAGGGAGGAAGCAGAGGAGGAGAACATTTCCTTGTGCAAGCAGAAATCCTAATTCTTACTTAAGGTTCGCCTTAATGCTACTACCTTGAACGCAACCCTTTCTCCCCAACGTGCAGGCTTTCCAAGGACAGAAAAGTGTTTGTTTTTTAAACCTATTCAATCATGCAGCCAACCATCCACCTGCAGCTCAAAGATGTTCAGTCTAAGGGAATCACTGGACACAGATATCAGTCCAGTAACTGCAGAGAGAATCTCTTCAGAGATTGCATGGCTCCGTCCCTGTCTTTCCATGACTGTGTACGCGTATGCATATGACAATGGCCACAGTTTCTGCATACCATTCACTGGATTGGCCCCTGCGCTCCCGGAGCTGTTCTGTTTGGCATTCTCATGCAGGAGCTGGAACCAGTCACGGAGCCGATCCCCCAAGTCTGCCAAGTCTTGCCCAGTACAGGTTTCTGTAAATCAAATGCAGAATTATTAACTGAGCACCCCAAGCTGGGAAGAATATGAAAGACACCCAAACTCTATTTTATTCATTGTGCAAGTCTCTTTCATGTAGCAAAACATTCCACCTTCGTGGAGTAAAGTCAGTTTGTTTATGTGTGTAATACAGAAAGGACTGCTTACTGAGGAGTTGGGGAAGGGGATGACTTGTGACATTTATTAGCTTGGAAATCCCTGCCTTAAACAAAAGTCTGAGCTGTCCAAATGGTGGATAAACTCCAGGATTTGACAAGAGCACCACTCACTTGCCTAACCAGAGTGTGTTACACATCTTGGACTTGTCTAGAATTTGGCCTTCTGTACTTTTATGGGGATGTAAAGCAGCAGACAGAAGCCTGCCATTTTAAGGGTTTAGGTACAGAATAGCATACAACTCAGAAACAACCTTTATACCAACAAATTGAACAAAAGTTACACAATTAATTTGCTAATTAATTTGCTAGGTTTTACTCAGGTAACAGTGCTATATTCGCTAAGTAACATTAAGCATTCTATTTATTCATTTATTTATTTATATTTATTTCATGCATGCCTCATAGCAGATACTTACCTCTTTATCCTGGCCTTTGATGCCTATGGTACGTTTTTAGGACCCACCTTATATTTTTGATTGTAAATTGGTTCATCTGGTTTTAATACTGTCTAAACCTGCCTTGGGTCCTTATGGTGACGGGCAAGGAAGAAATCTAAGCAACAACAAAATGGACCTATTTCCTTCCTTCCTCCATTTTGCAAACGACGGTGTAGCGTGAACTGGATTTCCCATTTCCATGCAAACTGGCTCTTGGCAGATGTGCTGAAATGATTTCTGAATCTTTATTGCGTGGACCAGAACTGCAGCCATGGGGGAACCTGATTTTTGGTGCTTTAAGCTTTCCCACAGCTCTTAAGTCAGCACCATATTGACCCAAGTCTAGGAGACCCTAGATGTGTGTGTGGGACCTGGGCAATGTGTACTCTTTATGGAAGCCCTTCCCCAGCAGTGGGCTCTGATGGGCTTACCTGGCATTAGTGTGCAGCTGAGACTGTGCTCTGAACGCTGCCCTAGAACAATGCTGCACTGTGGGGAAGGGAGCATTTTAATAATATAATAATAATAAATTTTTATTTATATCCCGCCCTCCCCAGCTGGAGCTGGGCTCAGAGCAGCTAACAGCATTAAAAGTAACACAGCATTCTAAAATCAATATTCTAAAATCAATTCAAAATCAAATGGCAACCACTGGGCCAGAGTTCTACGAGGATCACCAAAGGAGGGGGTCAGACTGTGCCTTGGCCAAAGGCCTGGTGGAACAGCTCTGTCCTGCAGGCCCTGCGGAAAGATGTCAAGTCCCACAGGGCCCTAGTCTCTTGTGACAGAGCGTTCCACCAGATCAGGGCCACAGCCGAAAAAGCCCTGACTCTGGTTGAGGCCAGCCTAACCTCTCTGTGGCCTGGGACCTCCAAAATGTTTTTGTTTGAAGACCATAAGGTCCTCCATGGGACATACCAGGAGAGGCGGTCCCGTAGGTATTTCCCGTAGGAAATTTAAACAGTGAGTAGACCCAGCGTAGAGAACTAGCTCTTTTTTGTTTGTTTTTAAAAGGTGGGTCCATGGCAAGCAGCAGCAGTGCCCGCTGCCACAATGCTGGAGCCCTGAAACTGCCCAAGGTTGCCTGGTAGTAATGCCAGCCCTGGGGTCACCTTCCCAGAACAAAATGATGACAATGCACACGAAACCGCAGTGTGAGATGTGTTACCGGGGGAGGGAGCTTGCCTGCGTCTGGATCATGGTCTCATGTAGTTTTCCTGGCAGACGAATGCATATGGCATGATCAAGGGAGATTGGGGCCCCTTGGAATACGATTTAATGCCAGACTCTTAGGCATGCTTTCTGTTGTTCACACAAAAAGCAGCAGAGAGAGAAAGGGAAGGAGAGGATGCTGTCATCAGACTATTTGCTAAAATGTTCCCCCTGACCTTGTTTGGTGTCTGTGGCTGAGGTCGGGCTATGCTCACTCGCGCATGGGCACTGCCCCTCGCACTTAACCGTCAGCTGTTTGCTGGTCAGGCAGGCTTGCTGCTCCAGTTTGCACTGCAAGACAGAATGGAGAGTAGACAGTCAGAGAAGTCAGCACTTGCCAATCAAATGGGGGACGGTCTCTGCTGGTCTAGGAGAGCATGCCATGAACCTCCTCGACCTCATCTCACCTGCTCCTCTGCTGCCGCCTGACGCTTCCCTCCTCATTTGGTAGTCCCTGTCTAGTCTGTCCAACATAGATCACACACCCTTACAGAGTGGACAATGCCTCCTTCTCCTCTATCTTTGGCAGCAGGAGCAAGAGCAGAAGGGGAGATGGGAGGCAGAACCACTTCATCACCTCGGACAACAGGCCAGACCCTTTTGGCTCCTCCTCTCCTTAAGTTGTTTCCATCCCAGCTCGTCCTGCAAAAACCTGGTGCCTGAGTTTGCTTATCTTCCCTCCATCCCTTTCCCCCTTTTTGTATCATCTCTTTTAAATTATAAACCTGAGGGCAGCAACTGTCTTGCTTTTTAAATGATTGTTAAGTTGCTTTTCGGCTTCTGGAGCAAGGTCCAAACACTACAAACAAACGGATACTCTAAGTTCTGCACTAAGATGACGATACACCTACTGCTTAATGCAATGGCTGAATACTCATGCACAAGTTCATAACGGTTACTCTCCCCCCCCCGCCCAATTCTAAATTCCATGAATAATATTCCTCCGAACGCTCCTTGATGGGAAGCAACTCCATTAATCAGCTCCAGTGTAAACACATTAATCACAGGGATTAGCGGCTGTGTATATCAATATGCTGACATTCAATATAATAAATCGGAGGATGTGACCATTTCCCTTTTGTCCACGATAGAAAGCACAGCGGGTCTTGGAAAGTATTCCTATGGCAGTATAATGAACTCTGCCTCTGGAGCCATGCCCAGCTGGAGCAATGGTGCTCAGCTGATGTAGTCCAACTTAGGAAAGGGTTCTGTTACTAGCCAAGGCTACATGCCTGCCGTGATTTCCATGGGGGGGGGGGAGGGAAATGGGCACCACAAAACGAGGCTTTCTGAGAATTTCTGCTTTTATGACGGGGAAGATATATATACACAAGTATGTGTGCAAGGGAGGGGAAGGAAGCGGGGAATACCACATTTTTCGTCCCATAGGACGCTCTGTCCCATAGGACGCACCTAGTTTTTTGGGGGGGAAATAAAGGGAAAAAATCCCCCCCCCCAAACCAGGTCGGGGAAACCGAACCAGGTCGAGGAACAGCGGGATGGCGGCGCTGCGCCTCCCTGTTGTCCCCCGAGCTTGTGGGGCTGGCCGATGTCTGCCCGGCGCGCTCTGCTTCAGGGCGCCCCTCACACCGGGCGGCAGGCTGCTATCCGCAGCGTGGGGATCCCTGTGGGGAACTCCTGCAGGGCTCCCCACGCTGCGGATGTATGCCCGGCGCGAGGGGCGCTCTGCTTCAGGGTGCCCCGCGTGCCGGGCGGCAGGCTGCTATCCGCAGCGTGGGGAGCCCTGTGGGGAACTCCTGCAGGGCTCCCCACGCAGCAGATGTATGTCTGGCGCGCGGGGCGCTCTGCTTCAGGGCGCCCCTCGCGCCGGGCGGCAGGCTGCTATCCGCAGCTTGGGGAGCCCTGAGGGGAACTCCTGCAGGGCTCCCCACACTGCGGATGTCTGCCCGGTGCGAGGGACGCTCTGCTTCAAGGCGCCTGTAGCGCCGGGCGGCAGGCTGCTATCCACAGCCTAGACAGCCCTGCGGGAACTCCCGCAGGGTTGCCTAGGCTGCGGATGTGTTCCCGAAGCGCCGGGCACTCTGCTTTCAGCGCGCCCAGCGCTCCGGGAAGCAGGCTGCTATCTGCAGCCTAGACAGCCCTGCGGGACCTCCCGCAGGGCTGGCTTGGCTGCGGATGCGTTCCCGAAGCGCCGGGCGCTCTGCTTTCAGCGCGCCCGGCGCTGCGGGAAGCAAACTGCTATTCGCAGCCTAGACAGCCCTGCGGGAACTCCCGCAGGGCTGCCTAGGCTGCGGATGTCTTCCTGAAGCCTGGAGAGCGAGAGGGGTCGGTGTGCAGCGAAAGCCTGCATTAGCCCCATAGGATGTACCCAGATTTCCCCTTCATTTTTGGAGGGGAAAAAGTGCGTCCTCTAGGGCGAAAAATAGGTAAATAAGGCTTTTGGTAGCTGGGGTGGGGCTTCAGTGCATGAGGCAGTTTCTCATGCTCTTAATGACTAGCACAAAAGAAATGTTGCAGAATTCTGCATTTATTTATTGGTCACTATTTTTCAATACAAGAGACATCTTGCAAATGGGCTTATTTTTCACCCGCTTACACAGATCACATAATTTGGCTTGACGTGGGATTTTGATTGCAAAGGCATGGACGGGGTTTTTAATTATAGTGCACCCGATTCTGCTTATAAGGTAAAGGGACCCCTGAGCATTAGGTCTAGTTGTGACCGACTCTGGGGTTGCGACGCTCATCTCGCTTTATTGGCCGAGGGAGCGGGTGTATAGCTTCTGGGTCATGTGACCAGCATGACTAAGCCGCTTCTGGCGAACCAGAGCAGCGCACGGAAATGCCGTTTACCTTCCCGCCAGAGCGGTACCTATTTATCTACTTGCACTTCGTGCTTTTCGAACTGCTAGGTTGGCAGGAGCAGGGACCAAGCAACGGGAGCTCACCCTGTTGCGGGGATTCGAACCACCGACCTTCTGATCGGCAAGTCCTAGGCTCTGTGGTTTAACCCACAGCGCCACCATATCTCATGCCAAAACACAGGAGGGCTCTGCGTAGGGATGGGGAATCAAACTTTCCCCCCATGCTCCATGGCTAGATCCTGCCTCCTTCCCATGATGATCCTTGCTCTTTATTCTGAGTACATTTAGGAGCTCTAAGTTCCAGCAACAAGCATCTCTCTCCCGCTGACCCCTTTGAAATCCAAGGACAGATTGCAACAGAAGGGTTTTGCGGCAGGCCAGCCTTCTGATCCTGTTACTTTTTTTTATTTAACTCTTCAGGCAACGAGGAACCAAAAGCAAATAACAATGAATCTTCTTAGTGCTAATCTCCCCCGAATGAAATTTCCTGCTGTGCCCTGGTTTCGAACTAATCAGGCTAAGGCTTCTCAACATTCTTTGGTGCATAATAGGCTACAAACTGGCTGCCTGTTTCCTGCAAACTATAGAAAAATATTTCCCCCAGCCACTGACTTGACCTGCTGTGATTTCATGGGGCATTCACAAACATCTTAATAACTGATGGGATGGGAGAAAGAGTAACATTTTTTTTAAAAAAAGGGAAGGACCCCAGTATATTTGGCTGTGACAAAACACCACACACAGAGTGTATGGAAATGGAGGATTTAGTTGGTGGGAAGATGAAGGGGTAGATTCACAAAACCCAAAACAAATTTGAGCAAGATGGGCAATGGAACTGATTACTTAGAGGGATGGTGCAGTCTCCCTCACTGGCACAAGCGATGGACAAATCTTCAATTTATTCCAGTTTCTCATTTCTCCAAACTTAAATTCAGTTCTCCATATTTCCACATGGTTGTGATTTTTTTTTAAAAAAAAGTTCCCATGAAAATTCACCAGCGTTTTTGTGTACATTTATCCTAATCTACACGTTTGTATGCAATTTCCCCTAATGAACAAGTGTACGCAAAACAATTTCCCCTAATACAATAAACTGTTTCATGTCATTTTTCACTCATATATGCATTTTTATGCACACTTTACACCAGTATGTGCATCTTTGTACACATTACTTCTCAGGAGAGCTGCACTGCAAAATTCAGAAAAGTGTGACTTTTGAAGACTGTGCTTTGGTTCTCGTATTGTGTTGGAAAGCATGAAGTAGGTACGTTCATCTTTACACGCAAACTGAATTGAATTTCTCCTCCCATCCCCTACTCGTAGGAGGCTTTCAAACAGGCTGGACCGCTCTGGATTTCCTGCATCAAACTACATGTCCAACAAGACCACCTCCAAATCTATGGTTCCAAGTGGTTGGTTCAAAGCATGTTACAAGCTATTTACTTAGCAGCAAAGCCATAATTCCAATGCTCCACCTCACTGCCAGATCAGTGCTCGGGATGCAAGGAGACAAGCAGGGAAGAATCAGAATCCTCACTTCCTGTTGCAAATTGTCCCGGCCACCATACGGAGCAATCCAAAAATGGCTGTAAAAGATCTCTGAGTTGCATGCTTCAGGAGCTGTATAAAAACCAGCCTCAGTTTTTAGCAAAGGTACCATGCTTTGGTTTCTGAATCAGTTTACCCCAGGCTGGGAGGCGATTCTTCACAAGACTCGCATCTCTATTTTGAGAGAGTTAAATGCAATTGTATGTGCTAAAGGCAAGAGCTTAGTTGGAACAGACTCCCCCATTCCAACAGCCAGAAGGCAGAAAAAGTAGGTCAGCACAGCATGACAAGGGCTACCCAAACGAGCTTTGGCTCAGTGAGTCACACCAATCCTGAACAGCTTCACTGTACTGCATGTAACGCAAAGGCATATTGCACTCACCTCCAATACTGTAAATATACCACTGCACTATTACCCAGAGACTCACTTTGTCTAGAAGGAAAGTCAAATGACCTCAAACCCTTGGCGATATTTGTATTGCTGCTGTCCGTCTTTTTAAGGGACCTGCTTTACATTTCATGGAATCAAAAAGATGGGAGGCACCTCGAAAGGTCAACGAGTTCAGCACCCCCCTACAGCAACCTCAACAGAGGGCCAGCCAGCCTCTGCTTAAACAGCTCCAGCAGAGGAGAACCTACCACCTCCCAAAGCTGTCAAAGAGCTCTTACTGTTAGGAAGTTTCTCCTAATATTAAGCTGAAATCTGCTTCGTTGCCATTTCTACCTGTTGGTTCCAGTCATGATTCCGTGGGCCAAAACCATTCACAATGTCCTAATTGTATGCATTTTGTTTCCAGAATGTGATGTTTTGATACCAACATCTTGGTAACAGACATTCTCCCTTTTCTAACCAACACCAGGGAAAGCCAATAGTATTTCCTTCCCCAGAAATGAAGGTGCCCTTAAAAAAGAAAAGAAAAAAGGATTCCTTGATCTTGCTGCCAAAACTCATCTTGATTTCTGGTCTGGTCAATGGGCCCAGCAGGTTTTCATATCGTTTCAAAAACCTGTTTGATTACAGGTGACAATGAGGATAAAATAAATTCGTGGAAGGGGCATAGCTCAATGGTAGCGCATCTGCCTTGCGTATAAAGGTAAAGGGACCCCTGACCATTAGGTCCAGCCATGGCCGACTCTGGGGGTGCGGTGCTCATCTTGCTTTACTGGCCGAGGGAGCCGGCGTACAGTTTCCGGGTCATGTGGCCAGCATGACTAAGCCGCTTCTGGCGAACCAGAGCAGCGCACAGAAATGCCATTTACCTTCCCACTGGAGCGGTACCTATTTATCTACTTGCACTTGACGTGCTTTCAAACTGCTAGGTGGGCAGGAGCTGGGACTGAGCAACGGGAGCTCACCCCGTCGCGGGGATTTGAACCGCCAACCTTCTGATTGGCAACCCCTAGGCTCTGTGCTTTAACCCACAGCGCCACCTGTGTCCCGTGCCTTCCGTATAGAAGGTCCCAATTTCACTCCCCGGCGTCTCCAGGCAGGACTGATAAGGACTCCTGCCTGGAGAGTTGCTGCCAGTCAGTGCAGGCAATACTGAGCTGAATGGACAATTCGTCTGACTTCGTATAAGGCAGTTTCGTTTCTTACTGTGGGTCTGATTTGACTAACCAGTCTAATAATAATAATAATAATAAATTTATACCCCGCCCATCTGGCTGGGTTTCCCCAGCCACTCTGGGCAGCTCCCAACAGAGTATTAAAAACACAATAAAACATCAAACATTAAAAACTTCCCTAAACAGGGCTGCCTTCAGATGTCTTCTAAAAGCCAGATAGTTGTTTATTTCCTTGACATCTGATGGGAGGGCCTTCCACAGGGCAGGTGCCACTACCAAGAAGGCCCTCTGCTTGGTTCCCTGTAGCTTCACTTCTTGCAGTGAGGGAACCGCCAGAAGGCTCTCAGCATTGGACCTCAGTGTCCGGGCTGAATGATGGGGGTGGAGGCACTAGCAGAAGGCTACACAAGGAAGCCCGCACAATTGGCCGAGGGGGTGCGTGTGTCAGTACAGAATGAGAAGGGAGGAGAAGGGAAACCACTCTGTCAGGCAAACAGAAATGTGTGTGCTGACAGAGTGATCTCCTTAGCGCTACAAATCCCTCCCTCTGTTACTAAATGCGTGTCTGCACCAGAGGAAGTGAAGCCTTCGTATAATTTGTTATTCTCTTAAAAGCTGTGCCTCATTTTATTATTGTCTCCGTGCCTTTTTGGTTCTTTTCATCATACTAGCATTCACGAGAATTCTGCAGATCTGCAGCGTTTAGCAATGACAATTTTAGCTGCCCTCAAAAGAAAAAGTAAAAAAAAAAAACCCAGCTCATAATTACCTCTTCTTTATCTTTAAAATCAACCAATTACTCCACCTCTGGGACCTCCACCAAAGGGTTATATATAATCTTGATATAATTTTGTGGGTTGGTGATAAATTAAGCAGAGGTGCCAGAGAGGTTGTCTTTGTTGGTTATTATCTTTAATATCGCTCGCTAACAATGCCTCCAGTGTTTCCACTAAGATATATATGTATGTGTGTGTATGTAATTTATTTAACTGTACTGAAGTACTAAGTACTGCTCCACAGTTTGGGTTAATGCGTCCTTACAATTTTCACAAAATTGTCCGTTTTTATAGATGGAAATGAATGGCAAGAGGACTTAGGCCACCCACTGATAGCCTAGAGGAGAAGAGCATTAATGAAGTACAAAATTATGTCCATGAGATGGCAATGTAGGAAAGAGGGCAAAGTTTCTAAGCTTGAGAGGAGAGGTGTTGTGAGCAGTCAAAAGACACATCAAGAGGAAGGGGCAAGTGGCTTCCATGTCTTCTGCTCACACTCCTGAGTCTTGTCCTAAGGAAGGAGACAGGCACTTCCCTCACAATGAGATGGCCTCACTCCTGAGCCTCCAACAGAACGTGCTTTTCCGCACTACAATCCAGAAATGCGGAAAGAGGAAACATTAGTCCCTTGAGCAACCATTCTGAAACAAACAGGCCCTAATAACAAGTTAAAGAACCAAGCTTTTCCCATGGCAAAGTGTTGCACGAGACGCAAGTAAATATTTATTTATTTGTTACATTTATATGCTGCTACCTTTCCTGCTTTTGAATTATGGTGCTGGAGGAGACTCTTGAGAGTCCCATGGACTGCAAGAAGATCAAACCTCTCCATTCTGAAGGAAATCAGCCCCGAGTGCTCACTGGAAGGACAGATCCTGAAGCTGAGGCTCCAATACCTTGGCCACCTCATGAGAAGACAAGACTCCCTGGAAAAGACCCTGATGTTGGGAAAGATGGAGGGCACAAGGAGAAGGGGACGACAGAGGACGAGATGTTTGGACAGTGTTCTCGAAGCTACCAGCATGAGTTTGACCAGACTGCGGGAGGCAGTGGAAGACAGGAGTGCCTGGCGTGCTCTGGTCCATGGGGTCACGAAGAGTCGGACATGACTAAACGACTAAACAACACCACCTTTCCTTCCGGAAGCCTGGAAGCTCCCTTGTATCATCATCATCTTCTTCTTCTTACTACTACTACTACTACTATTAGGATTTACAAGCTATTTGTAGAGCCAACTCCCAGTACACCATAAAGCCCGCTGAATAACTTTGGGTCCATTACTGGGTGGTTGGGTTTGTTTTGTTTTTAAGCTTAACCTACCTCACAGGGTTGTTGTAAAGATAGAATAGGTGGGTGGGTAGAGAAACAAAAGGACTTGGAGCTCATTCTAGCAGCTCAGTTGCCTAGAGCGTGGCGCTGATAAGGCCAAGGTTGTGGGGTTTGATCCCCTTAAGGGACAGCGGCAAATTCCTGCACTGTGGGGGAGGGGGCTGGACTAGATGACCCTCAGGGAGCCCTTCCAATTCTGCAATCCTATGACTTAAGAATGTAAGGAACAAGCAAAGACTGTAAAACAACTCAAGAGAACAGAGATACAAAAATTCCCTGCACGCCCCCCCCCCGCATAGTACTATACAGATATGACATTCAGACCAGACCCCCTGAAACGTTGCGGCTGCTTCTTCCCCTGAACGAATGCCCTCCCGCCAATCTCGTTTCCAGGCTTAGCTGCTGCCATTTTCTCTCACCACGGAGCTGTAAGTGTGTCCATCGGAGCCACAGACAGATGCGAGCTGGGTCATGTGACAAGGCTTGCACAAGCTCTCCTTGTTTCCATGGAGTTTCAGGGTAGGCTGTTTGATTCTGTGGGTGCACAGGAGGGAGAGATAAGAAAGAAACAAAGAATTCGTATTAAAGCAGGGATAACCTCGCAGCAAACACGCCCTCAGGCACAAGATGCGCTCTTCTCTGTTTGGCACTTGAGGAATGTGAAATATCCGGAAACTGCAGACCGGAGAGTGCTCCTCAGGTATCACTGTAATATAAAAGGCAGGGATCCACAAGTGAAACTTTTCACAGAGCCACGAGAAGGAAAAGCTTCACCTATGGATTTCTGCCTGTTGTACTGCCATGAAAGCCACACACAGAGCTTCCGCCTGCCAAACAGCAACAACTTTAACCTTCAGTTATATGATTTGTTCGCAGCAGAAAGGGGCGAAAAGCCATCGAGGCCAAAGGCCTCTTCAGCCATTTGGGGCGAATGCACATGGATTGATAAGGGGCAGGGGCATGAACAGAAACCCCAGTCCCAGCATCACTGCATGGGCCAGATCCACTTCAAACCATCCTGTATTGAGAGCAAAAGTCTGGAGGGAGATTTTAAGGGTGTTCAGATGAATATGTGCATGCACCTGTTTCTCCCCGCTCTTAGCTCACAGGAGTTTGGGCGAACACTTGCAGAGAGCTCATGTGTGAACACCTGTGGACCATAGCATAACGTTAAGTGAAGGAATAGAAGAGAGACTTAGCCACAAGGAATGAGTCCACCTGCGCAATATGGCCTCCCTTAGGGATACTGCCTATTCCTCCTCTGCCTTTTCACTCTTAAAAAGAAGTTAAGACTTGTGGACATTGTGCAGGCAACTCTATACCTGCTTGTTCAGTGAGAACAGGCAGTGGGGAGCAGGATCTGGCCAACGGGCCAAATCCTGACCACCCCCATGGGCCATTTTGAGAGATGGGTAGTGCCTCCATCGCCTGACGTCACAAAGGTGTCACATGATCCGAAATATACCTGGTCCTGAGTTTCAGAGTCCTGGCTAACAAGTTGCACTTCAGCGGGTGGCTGACAAGCACTTGGCACTTTAAAAAATATTCATTCAATATCCTGAATAAAACAAATCACTTTTAAATCTACTAGCCAACTGTATTTAAGTTTGGGTTGTCCTCCATTGGCTTATAACAGCTTCCTTCCTTCCTGGTGTGACCACCACAAAAGGACTCGGCGGAAGCAAGAGCAAGTCACTCAGTAACACCTATTGTCGCACCAGGGACTCATGGGGAGGCCAGCTGCTTCCTTACCTGTGCTCCAGCTTTTTGCGGCTAATGCACATAGCCCGCTGGTAGCCCTGGGCGATGCACACCTTGTGCCGGCTGCATTTCACTTTCTGGCAGGGATCCTTAGTGGTGTCCACACCTAAAGCCAGAAGTAAATGGAGTGTGAATGACTAAATGCTCCTTTTTATAGCAGAGGTTGCTGCCTGATATAAAGCAGAAGCTTGCAGACAACCACACACACGCTAAAAACCACAAAGCGACCATGGTCTGCAATACTTCGTTACATGCAAGTATATCAGGATCAGAAGCTGTTTCACAAATCAACTTAAACTGAGTCTGATAATTGGACTAGTTTCCCATTTGTAGTGTTATCTTATAAATAGGGCTGCCCTACGTCCGGGACTCCCGGGTGTATGGCAATGTCGGAAGTGTTGGTTTTTTTGGCGAATTTCCTTAAAAAAAAAAAAAAAGCACAGCAACTTCATTTTGAGATTTTGCAGAAAAAGCTCAACAACTTTTGTGTTCGGATATTCACTTTTTGAAATACGGCAACCCTATTACAAACAACTTTGCTACAATCGACAATTTTGAAATTATTTGCACGCAGTGTGCCGTTTACTGTCGGCTGCCTTTGCAAACAAACCTAAACTCATCGCTTTAGGAAGACAGCTCCCCAATATGCAACAGCAATGAACCTTCTCTCTATGACCTGCATGGATTCCCACCACATGCAAAAAGGTGCTGTGAGAGAACCACCTGACATGGTACGTATAAGAATTCACATTCCCATCTTCGCTGAGGAACGGGTAGGAATGTGCAGCTGCAGCTGTCCTGCACGGACACAGTCAAGGGTCACCTTACACTTGTCATGTGTGCCTGTCAATATGCAACCAACATGGGCCTCGACAAATCAGCTGGCTTACTCACCTGCAGCAGTGTCCAGTGCTGAACTACATATACTGAAGGCTCTTAGGATTTGCATTCAGGGAGTGTTTGTGTGTGATGGAGGACTTTGTGCAAGAAAAGCCCTAACCACGAGGGTGAAATATCTGCTGGGTTGAGACCAATATTTTTGTCATGGTTCTCTACAGAACTAGCACCTTCCACCTGAAATCTAGTCTCTAGTCACTCCCCTTTCAAACACATTTTTGTTTAGATTTGTTTTTTTTTTAAACACACACCTATGCATCCAAACATCTAAACCCCAAATCGGTGAGATTTAGGTAATACGCCCACAACAACTAATCATCACTAAATTTGGGAAACAGCTATAGCTCAGTGGTAGACTGCATGCTTTGAATGCAGAACAATCAAGTTTCGATCGCAAGCAGCTCAGGGAAAGACTCTCTCCTCAAAATCTGGAGAGCTGCGCCCAGTCAACGGAGATAATCCTGAGCTACATGGACCATTGGGCTGACTCAGCAGAAGGCAGCTTTCCATGTACGCTGTGTCAAATCTAGAATAACAGACAAGTTTCAAGCCATGTGCTCTAATCTGGCCCGAATGACTGTTCTACTGAAACAGCCTCCTGCTTGCATTTGTCAACGAAGGTACACATCTCCATCTGCAATGGTTATCTACCCTCTACCAAATTGTCTGGCAGGTGTAGTTTGGAACTTCCTGAGGGCACCTGAGGTTGGAGGAGGATGGGCTAGATGCATCTAGGATGGGAATGGAAGATGTGCCTCTAAACCCAGTCCCTCCAGCTACACATCACTAGCTGCCCGCGATTGCTGTTGGATTTGGGCCGCAGAGGACAATGCAGCGTAGAGCTAAGCGCCCTTAAGCTCGCCGCTTTCAAAGGGCATAATAAGCATGCTTAAATCTGCGTGGGTTCAAAGCCAGCAAACTTTACAACGGCAGGAACTTTGCAGCCTGGATCAGGCAGCCTTTGAAAAACAAAATGCTCTTGCACTATTTTCTGAAGGTCAGCAAATCAGTATTCTGGTCAGGCCAGAGCAGTCAAGGCATTCTTTAAATTGAATTGCCTTTATTTAATAAAACCAAGGGAGATCAAAGGACTGGTGCTCAAGTACTCAATTTTCTAAAAGTTTTTTTTGGGGGGGAGTCTGGTGCCAGCAGTGATTGGAAGATCAGGTGGTAGTAACCAGCGAAACTCCAGCTCCTCAAAGCTTGAATGTATAAACCTGCTTTAAACAGAATCAGGACCTCAGTCCACCTATTTCAGTTCTGCCTATAGCAAGATGGAGGAATCTGTGGCCTCCATGTGCTGTGGGACTCCAACTCCCATCATCCTCAGCCAGCAAGGGATGATGGGAGATGGGAGTTCATCAACATCTGGAGGTTCCCCATTCCTGGCCTACACAGATTGGCTGTGGCTTTATAAGGTCTCAGAGAGGAATCTTTTCCAGCTCCATACCTGGCGATGCCAGAGACTGAACATGGAAGCTTGGGTATGCAAAGTATACACTCTTACTTCTTTATGTGTCAATTTTATTTAAGTCAACCATGTCTACACCACTTGCCACCTTAGCCTCTAAGTGGTGTACGGGAAGGATAAAAGGATGTGATGAATTTAAAGCCAATTAAAACTGACTGTGATTTTAAAAAAATAAAAAATATAAAAACTATCTGCAATTGAACTATGGTCTGCTCTTATAGCTTGAGCATGCTGTTCTCTTGCATACATTTTTCAACGGTTTAGAAGATTGCGTTGCTCAGGCAACATGTGGATATACTCAAGTTGCTTGCCATAGAACACATGCTTTGATTGCAATCCCTAACATCTCCAGGGAGAAGGATCAGAAAGAAAGGAATGGGGAAGGCTCTGGTGTCAGTTGAAGTAGCAGACTAGACAGACCCAATGGTCTTGCCTAGAAGAAACTTCCTCTGTTCCAGGTTGCCTAGGAAGCTTAAGTTTCGTAACCACACAGCATCTAAGTCAGCAAACTATTCCATCAGTTCTCCCTATGCCCCATATACGTACTTCCCCTAGAATAGGGAAAGGGAAACCTCAGGTCTGGTGGCCCCATCAGCGCTCTCTTTTGGACCCCCAGAGCTCTCCACCAGCCATATCCCCTCTTCCCAGACCACACGATTCACAGTTTCGGCTTTACAACCTCCTTGAACGTTTTTGCCAGTCTGGAACCTGCTCCTGAACTCTACACTCATTGTTCTACCCATTTTTGTTTCTGGTCTCGCCCCTTCTGGCATGTGGCCCTCGGGACATTGCTGAGAAGGTAATCTGGCCCTCTGGGTGAAAAACGTTCCCCATCTGTGTGCTAGAATATCTACGCAGTACCAGCGCCCCCTTTTTTTCCTCCCAGTCTCCATTTTGAAAACTAAACTTTCCCATCATGCTTTTGTTACTTGACCTGTTTACATAAATGTCCACAGCACCCTTCAGTAGAAATCCCTGCTGAATTGGTTTACATGGAAAGGCCAATGCGAAAAAGAATTAAAACACACGTGAAGAATCACATAAACACAAAGGCCGAAAAGGCAGCTGTATCTGAAAGCTGTAATGGCGCCAATCAGAGGAGCACAGCTGCATTTACCCTTCCTGCCCCTCTTCCCTTCCTAACAGCTGATCAGCGCAACTGCAGTTGACTTGACAGAGCTACATGTGCACAGCTTTGGCTTGTTGCACATGAATATTGTTGGATCAGCGCCAACTGCCCCACTTGCAAAAAAAGGAGAGGAAATATATATATATATATAAACCTCATATCCCACTACAACGCTTAGATTAAAATTAGACCAAATTTAGAAAACCTTCAAGCACAGGAAGGTCTTTAAAGCATATTTAAAATTAATCAGAGGAGTGCCCCTTTGGACTTCCCTGGCAAAGCATTTGTGCAAGCTGCAGTACCACCCCTGAGACGGCCCTGCAACATCCAAACTCAACTGCTTTAAAACGGTCGTGGACATCTCCCGACAAACCCCTGAAACAGCCATTGATTCAGATTATTTCCTCTCCTGCATGAAATTGAGTCCTGCACCATTCCACTTTTTTATTATCTGGACAGCTGCTCAGCGCTCAACTCTGTGCTTCTACTCCGCAAATTTCTCCTCTGTCACATCAACCACCCACCCAATAATTTCGGATCAATCATCTGTGAAGTCACAACTCTGGAGGCATCGATTTCAAGTAGCAATTAAATGATACTAACCAAGGAAACCAAACCTGCAAACTGTAAACATTTGGAAGCAGGCGTCTCCACTAACATAAAAGGGGGGTTATTTCCATCACTCGCATAAGCACAATCAATTCTGCTCAATGGCACACAACACCCTTATCTAACATGCAGGGAAATAGACTTAACTAACCCAAACACCTGGGAAAGCATCAGAATTCACCCCAGAAGAAAGTGATTAAGGCCATGGGTAGCCCACTCTAATGAATTATCAAGGGTGGGAAAAACTTGGCCTGTCTACAAATTGTTTTTGTGTTTTTAAGAATATGCATTGGCAGGTAGGTTGTATATGAAAGACTACTGCAGCTCAGAGGTAACACCATGCTGCTAATGGAACAGAGGGAATGGAAGATAAAAAAGGAAGACCATACCCTCCACTTAGAAGGAGAGTTGCAATTCCTGCATTGTACACACATATTTGTTGCAGCTAGTAAAACCGAAACCGGGAAACACATCTCTCTTCAAACACGCCTGTACTCTGGCTTGATAGTCTTGCCTTCAAAGTCATTTTCAAGCGTCTTTAGAATAGATGAAAGCAAGGCAGACGCAAGTGAGATTTGCTCCCATATTTACCATCTTGCAGGGCAGGAGGAACCTTGTCCTAACAAGGTCTTGGGCACTTTATCGCAACAGGTCCTTTAAAAAGATTAAGCGGAACCAAAAGGGAAAAGGGTACCTTCATCAACTGGCTGATTATCCTCCCAGCTTTTGATGTAGTCATCCTAAATGGGGGGAAAGGAAAATGACAGCCTTAGTGAATTAAAAGATTAAACAAGAGAAAATGTCAACTATAAAAATCCAGATGCTGAGAACTCCAGGCAAATCAAAATCCATACAGATAATGTTATGCAGAGGATGCGACAGTGATGCTTCCTTGACAGCCTGAATTCTAGGAAAGAGGCTCTGTTGCTGTAATTTCTCTTGGCTTTACCCTCTTTGTTCCCTTTTTGCAGGAGAAGCTCAATGATTTGATGGGCTGGCGCTTAAGAAGGCTGAATCTTCTCAAATCCTCGATTCTTCACAAAGCAAAGAAATGGACTAGGCTCTGTGGGATTTGTCCATTCTTGAACAGCAATGGGAAACCTCCGTACGATGAGCCTAATCAGGCTCCCCAACTCCAATTTTGGCCCACAAGAAAAAGAAGAAGAGTTTGGATTTGATATCCCGCCTTTCACTCCCTTTAAGGAGTCTCAAAGCGGTTAACATTCTCCTTTCCCTTCCTCCCCCACAACAAACACTCTGTGAGGTGAGTGGGGCTGAGAGACTTCAGAGAAGTGTGACTGGCCCAAGGTCACCCAGCAGCTGCACGTGGAGGAGCGGAGACGCGAACCCGGTTCCCCAGATTACGAGACTACCGCTCTTAACCACTACACCACACTGGCTCCCATTTTGGCCAAGTCACACCCACCTGACATCACATATGATGTCATGCTGATAGAGATGTGTCAGGTGTGGTGCAGCTAAAGACCTGACTTAGCCAAAATGGGGTTTGCAGGCACTGCTGATCAGCTGATTGGCAGCCCCTGCAAAGTGATATGCCCTTTGTCCTAGCAAACCCTGACCATCAGCTGATTGAGGTTTGCTATGCCAGGGCTCAGCCATTGCAAGACCCTATAGTGTAGAACTAGGAAGAAAATCCAGGCATTTCAGAACACCAGGTCATATTCTCTTATCTCTCATGACTATGTTTTTACTTTTTTTCTAATAAAAAAAAATCTCTTCACATTTTCCAAGCTAGCAAGCAATCAGAAGTTAGCAGCCCACTGCAAATCAATGAAGCCATTTTCTGCTTTAAAGTGTTATGCAATCAGAAATAAACATGCTCTATCAACCAGAAAAACAAAATAAAAGCAGTTTAATGATAGAGCCCTTGGCCATCCTGCTTTCATCAAAATGAAGTGTGTGGGGATTGGGGGGCGGGGAATCCCCGAACCTCAGCAGTTTTCTTTCTTTCTTTTAAAAAAATCTCATCCACTATGGCTCTGAGCTGACCAGTCAGAACACCATTATTATTATTTAGACAGTCTGCTTTCCCCCTCCATGTGGTACAGTGGTCTTGTGAAGGCACTCCTGTGTTGCAGCACATCTACATTTTTTTAGGATATGGGAATTGGTGATATTGCCATGGTGACAAAGATAGTGCGACCTGACAGGCAGGAGAAGAAAAGGCTCGCCTGTGGAGTAGAGGGGTGCACCTAGCCCTCTTACTGGGTTCTCACAAATATGCTGCCAGGCTCTGGCAAGAAGGGAGTCGCACCAATGTCACGGAACCATCTAGAATGTCCCTCTAGATGGAGAGCCAGATTCCCTCCTGACCAACCTCTGGAGGGCCTTATGACAGTGGTGGACTGGCCCAACTGGGAGGAGGAAGACATGGAACAGAAATATGCCACCTAAGAGCCAGAGGTTTCTAAACCCAAACACCTCTCAATTGTCCACCATGGCACACCGTTCCAGCCAGGCAAAAACATCTGACAGGGGCACAGAGCAAGGCCTGTGAGAGGGGTTGCGGTCTGAGGAGAGTCTGAGAGGGCTGTATCTGGCCCTCAAGCCCACCAATCTCCCCATCTGCTGTCCATATTTTTGGGCAGATACCTGATTCAAGATGGTGAGCCAGGGCAGACGTTAACTGCCAACAGAGGCTGACGCGAAACAGCAATTTGCGCCAGCAGCGCCACGTCAGGCCTGGAGCCCACGGAAGGTCAGAGCAACATGCAATTGTTTCTAAATACAGCATTGCATGATTCCCCGCTTCACATGTTATACCACTCAAGAGATATTGGAGCTTATCGGGAAGCTGCAGGACTGTGTCAACTCATTCATGCGACTTTAAAGACTGTGAGGGAGCACAAGGGAGCAGGTGGTGCCTAAGGTGGGCAATCTCCATTGTTTTTAAAGTGTGAGGGGGCGAAAGGGGAAAGGCAGTATATGGGCAAAAAGAGATTTATATTCTGACTCGCGGCAACAATCTCCTTAAAGGAGCATGGGGCGTGTTCTGCATCCCCACTCCAGTCACCTTGCTCCAGCAAAAGGTGCTTTTGAAAAGACTCAGCTGGAGCTCAAAAGTTCCAGAAGAAATGAGAGTGCGTGGCTGGGTGTGCCTCCTGCAAAGCCTTCTCGAGGGGCTGTGGGTGGGTGATCCTTATTTTGTCCTCCTCTCTCCTTGTATGCTCAGGATTTATGTACGTGCATCAAATGTAAATGCAGACTACACCTGCGTTACAAGTGAGAGACTTACCTGCGTGGAAGACCCTGTGTAAAGCAGAGGGTTGGGCTTAACCTCTTTGGATATATTCCAGACCTCTGATTCAAGAAAGCAGAAGTAGTTCACCAGGCGGTTGCTGGGCTAGCTTCCCAGCAGGCTGATCGCTCCTGTTCACTGGGAAGGAGTGAGGAGGCAGCTGGGAGGTCAGCACGGTGCAGGAGTACCAGCAGAGCCAACATGGTGCTGATCCTGGTGCATTTGCACCCTGCCAATCTCCTCACCTCACCCTTCTCCCTCCTGGCAATAAACAGGAAGATAGTATATCAGTTGCGCTCCACCCACCAAGCCCTTGAAAGCGCCATCCTAGCCAAACCACACAGTCAGAAGAATCACATGGGAACAGCCCTTGCTGAGCTCGACCACTTCCGTCTGTAGGTGAGAAATTACATTTTGGGTTCTTCTACCGCATAGAAACAAAAAGCAGCTCAAATTTCCCTGCCACAGAAAACAAGCATGTCGGAGACAACACTTTTTTCTTTCAGGCTTTCTACCCAAGGAACTTTTTCATGTCCTCAGAAGTCTGAAATGGTCCGCCCAGCAAGAGATGCCTGCCATGTTGATTCTTTCATTCTTGTAGCCTGGCTGTTAATTCAGCTCTAAAGCACACTATCCTTGACGTGGATTTATAGCAAAATTGGATTTAGTTTAATGCAACCTTTGTGCTGTGCCAGTTCAGGCACCAGTGATTTCACTGAAGGCAGATGGACGCAGGTATCGAAACATGCAGAGCCAGGATGACTGGCCAATTTTTCACAGACCACGTTCAACCACTTAGAAGGTCCTCCAAAATAAACCAGAACCAAAATGAAGGAGCTGCAGTAGAGGACAGAAGGAGACGATACAGATGTGATGATAAAATGAAACAAAATTATAAAAAATATAAAAAATCAGTACTAACCTCCACCTCCTGGATAATTCAGACCACAGCAGAAGGGCAGCAGAAATAACATGAAAAGGAGAGAAAAAGAGAAGTAAAAAATCCCACATATGAAGACAGCATTACATAGCAGCTATACCAACAAGGCAATGCAGCCACTGCTATTCCTCTGCTTAAATTCAGAGTAATGTCAGGATTCATTTCCCAGAAATGATGTTTTATTAACTGTTCTACTAATGCAATTTTTCGTTTTGTTTTTTCCAATTTGCATCCATTAAGCCATTTGCCTGTAACAGTGACAGCCGTGGATTCGGGTTGTAAGGGATATAAATCAAGACGAGGGCCTGATAATTTGGGGCATTTATTAAGCAGGCGGCGTCTTTCTCAGGAGGTTTTCTGTTGCCTACAGGGCATGAACGACAAAGTCTCAGAAGGATGCGCTGGAGTCGCGCACCGTATTTCATACCCTTTTTGACAACCCCACCGATACATGGGCTTGATTATTTTTCCCTTTTTGCCTCCGCCAATAAAGGCCACGATTCAAACTATATGCTGGCGGCAGCCATTATAGGGCAAGCCTGCTAGGCCACCTCCCTCCAAATGCACCCGCAAAGAAGTAAATTAAGAAACAGGGAAGGGATATATATGGCTGGGTTCAATGCTCTGTAGCTATATACGCTGCCCATAGAGAGACTACAGTTGAGGTCAACAATCCACCCACACTCTTGTCCAAAGGGGTTTCAACAGGGCAATCCAACCCCCCCCCCAATCCACTCTGCTATGTATTTAGATGTGGTGGGCGTGTTTCTCCACCTGGGTCCATTCTGCATCTGCTAAAAGCACAGGCAAGATGCATAAGCCCTTGAAACAGGGCACAGAGGAGAAGGCAGAGCTGAGCTTTCCAAAGTTCTGCAGAATTCTATGCTGGTCCAGCTGCCAGTGATGGGCCTGATCTAGCCCTCTCTGCTCTGCCAACCTGGAGCTGGTAAAGCAAAAAAAAGGGGGGGAGGGGGCAGCCATGTGGTTACTGTCCTCCCACAGTAAACGGACTCAGCTGCTCCACGTTTGGATACTGCAACAACTAAGGGGGCAATCAGTTCACACGGCCCAATAACGTAAGTGGTAAGAGAAATTCTTAAGACTGTGTTATTTCCCCCCATCCTTCCACAGAAAGGGGTATCTATTCTGAAATCTGAGGGGTCAGCACAACTAGCAGCTAGTGGTAACTGAGGTCTTTTGGTACGAATGTGGTTCAGGGTTTTCAAAACACTCCATGGATATGAATGATGAGGCTTTACTACCACTGTGAAGTCAATTGCCACGTATCCCTGATTAAAGGGAAAACGCAAATCCCTTCCAGTGTACTTCTATCCTTATTTGCCCCGAAAACAATTAATTTGGACCCCAAAGTGAGTGCCTGTCTTTGATGAGCCTCCTGGGGACATGCTTAAGAGATGCAGAATGGGTATAGGTGGGGCTTATTGAAGGGAGATGTGCATATAGCTGAGAACTGGGTATGCAGCTGGAAGTGACAAGCCACTGATCTGTTAAGAAGGCGGCTTGCCTCTTCAGCAGCGAGGAACAAGTGTAGTCCGTTGCCATGTCTACCTATGGATCATCAAGGCCTGGTTCACATGGACATATGCATCACTTGATATAAACATCTGTCAGTCTCGTGCTGTCTGTCAATGGGCAGTTTTAAGTGGGCTCTCCTTCAGATCCAAGATCTCAGCTGTTTCTCAGCCCTTCGGCCAGGGATCCATTTACAAGCAATGCCAGGATTTGTACTGGACAAAGTATGGCTCGGCCAAAGTATGGCTCGCCCCCCCCCATAGGAAGCTGCCTTCGAACTGTAGGCATCTAACCTTTCACCATGCCTTGGCTGAAGTTTGGTAGGGCGGCCATGAGCAAAACAAACAAACAAACGTTACCCTGGTGGCGGTGGCAAGATGCTGTTCTTGATTTATGTCAAGCCTGTTCCCCTCCAGATATTGCTGAACTCTGGCTCCCATCAGCCTCAGCAAGCATGGCCAGTGGTCAAGGATTATGGAATTTGCAGTCCAGCCACATCTGGAGGGTCACAGGTTGTCTCAAGGAAACATCACCAGGGCCTGTTCCGTGGAAATCAGCAGAAGCCATTCTCCAGCTACTGCATCTGCCACACTCCAGAAAGGCTCATCCTCTGAATAGGACTGCCTTTTCCGTCAACAACCCTTTAAGCATTCAGCCCCCATTTCCACCTCTCCCCCTTTCCGCCTCAGGTCTCCAGCGAGCCCATTCATCTTCCCTGTGAACACCTCTGCAGCAGCTCTTCCTTCACCCTACCGCCGCTCTCTTTCAATGCCCTGGCTCTGTCCCCAGCCTCTTTGCCCTCGTCCATGTGTCTCTCCCCCCCCCCAACACACACACACACACAGCTGGAACATCAAGTGATGAGACAAGGGGTCCCTGCAGGTTGAAGGAGCTGCACCATCAAAGGCAATTGTGCGCTTCCTCCTCCCGCCTGCCGAAATCTGCCTTCCCAGCTCTTATAGCGAGGCTGGCAATTGCGAGCCAGGGAGAAGAAAACCAATTTATTCTCCACTGCACGCTCAAGACTTCCAGGGCGTTCCACCCCCACTGGGAACGCTTTCAATAGCACCAACCGAAAGGGAGCACAGGGAAGAAGAAGAAGAAAAAGCAGCATAACAATGTCTCTCCCTTCCCCTCGTTCTCGCTCTCTTTCTCTCCAGCCCAACCCAACAGGAAACGGCACATTGTCAAAGCTGGCACCCTGCCACTCTGCAGCAGGCTCTGCCAAGTAAGCAAATGAGGCTTCACATCGGAGATGGTGGCGCTGATGTGCTGTGGAGCCACCTGCCGCTCTGGGGACCGCTTGTAAGCACAGGGAGGTGGAGGGAGCTCTCTGGGGTGTGGGCAGAGGAAAAGGACCGGTCCAAGGTCCTCGCGAGAGATTGGAATCCACACCTGGCTGCGGCGTTCAGTGGGTGACCTTGAGTCACCATCCCTCTGGGTCAGTTTAACCCACCTCCTTGGGGATAAAAATGTACTGGGGCGAGCGCAAAAACCGAACACTCATGCTTCATGAAGAAAGATCATTCGGCTCCAAACGCTTGGTGATAAGCAATTAAGCGATCCGCCGGCATGTGTGCAGAACAGATCCCCAGCCACAGCTGCAAAGCAGTTCTGTCAAAGGCAAGCCCTTCTGATTCTCCCCCCCCTCCGCCCCCAATATATTTAAACAATCCTTTCTAGTCAGCGCTTTCTGTTTCTGTCATGCACTTTCCGGAGGGGGAGTGAGGACTGTTGACAGGGTAGGTCACTCGAGACAGCGGCTCCCTCAGGAGGTCAAGCTACTGAAGGAGACTGCGCCTGACCTTGGCGCTACTGAAGGGAAGCGTGTTTGCTCAGCGAGAGGAGGGAGTTACCAAGGGCATGCTGGGAGCTCAAAACGCTCTTCGGCCTTTATATTCTGTGCCGGATTCTGTGGTGTAATAACATCAAAATAATCCGCTTTGAGAGCAGGTCTACATCTGAGGGCTCATCTTCAAAGCCCCACGCAAGGCTTATCGGAAAGGTGGGGCAGTCCAGCAGTGCCCAGAGCATTTTATGCCACAGCATAAAATAAAAACGGCACCTGTGCGTCTGGTCCTTCCTCGCTCATCTGTGATGTCTAAGGCATCTCCGTACAATTCACTGAGAGTTTCTCTCACCTTTGTTGACATCCGTCTGTCTCAAGAGACAACAGAGTACGCCTCAAACCATGCAGCTCTGAAGTGAACTCCCCCGGGGCACAAGCCTGGGTAGTGTGTATGGAGGTCCTGGGATACCCAGATGACAAGACCCGCCTCTTGACCTTGCTGATGACTCTACTCTGGATTGGTCCAAGGTTTTACACATTAGTCTTTTCTTCTCCCGAAGGTGTCCTACAAGAAAGTGGCTACGGATTTTTCCATGGGGGTTTACTTTCCCCAAAGCTTTTCTCACCAATGAGTAGAGAGTTTTCCTCTTCCTAGATGGGCTACCTTCCCAGGTGGACAAGCCCCATTTGCCCCTTCGTTCTCTCCACAGCTCACATGCGCACACATATGCCACACATTATATAACATGTGGTGTGTGTGTGTGTGAGAGAGAGAGAGAGAGAGAGAGAGAGAGAGACAGGATGCAGATTCTTCCTATTCCATCATACACAGTTATTTCTCCTTTTGTGTGAAGCAGACCTCTAAATCCTAGATCCGTCATGGAGCTGTCCAGCAGAATAGCTCCTGAATGGCACGACTAAGGCTCGTCTCATCTGCTAGTATTATCACACAATTCATAGAATTGTAGAGTTGGAAGAGACCACAAGGGTCATCCAGTCTAAGCCCTGCAATGCAAGAATCTTTTGCCCGACATGGAGCTCGAACTCACAACCCTGAGGTTAAAAGTCTCACTTACACAAAACCCTCAATCTTGGCAAGGGGGAGCTGCTCCTTAACCTTTTCTCTTTTAAAAAACTTTCAAAATTTGTCCATTACAGCTGTGTGGAGTTCTGCTGCTGCTGGAATCTTCCTTTGAGAGGGAGGGAGGCAGCTCTGTTGGGAAGCAGCCATTGCACTCAAGCCAGCAATATTACGATGTTGGGGGTGGGGTGGGGAGGGATGAAGGCAAAATTCCCCACCCACTCTGGTTCCACAGAAAACTCTCTTTGCTTAAAAATCACTTCCGGGTTAAAGAGTCAGCAGTCACCCAGTTAATGGAGCGTCAAAGTGGGCATTTTGGCCCACTCTTTTATATACCCCAGTTCAATGTGTTTGGGAAGCCGGTTTAGCAATGGAGAGATAGACTGCTGCTGTCAGTCAAACAACCATCACTTTATCATGAGCACAGAGGATGGGGGGGGGGGCAAGGTGAGGAATCAATCCAAATCCAGTCGTGCTCAGAAAGCTAAACATTATATAGTGAGCTGTGAGTCAACAGTTCAAATACTGCCTCAGTCATGAACCGGCAAGGCCTCTCATTCTCCTCAGGATTCCGGATTGGTGATCTGAGGAACACTGTGTAAGAAAATATGAAGCTGCCCTATATCTGTTTGGACTGTTTGTCCCATCTTGTCTACTCTGTGGCACCAGCTCTCCAGATTCCTGGGCACAGATGTTTCCCCATTTTGTTAACTGGTCCTCTGTCACTGGAGGGGCCGAAGATTGAACTTGGAGCCTTCTAAATGAGAAGCAGCTAAGCTGAAAATAAAAAATACACACCAGAAAGGAATCTGCTTGTGTACCACCACTCTGTTCTGGTCAAAGGAGGAAACTACAAGGCGGTCAGCCACAAAACTAAAGGAAGCCTCAACAATAAGCTAGAGCTGGTCAGGTGATGCTCCTGGGGCCTCCACAGAAGTCTCAAAATCAGGCCTTCTCAATATCCTGAGCAACTAGACGACCTGCTTCTGGTGACTACAAACCATATTTGCCTTTTACACAATCTCTTTCTCTTTCTCTCTCTCTCCATCCCCCACAGGGATTGAGTCACTGAAATGTTCTCCCAGCTGCAGGGGACCAACTCGGTTAAGCGACTCCCACGAGGCTGAGAGAAAATGTAGAGGACCCCGTGAGCTTCCTCAGTAGGGAGCTATCGCCCATCCCGGGTGGCTCGCCAAAGGACGTCTCTGTGCAACGCACACGTTGACGACCCCATCTGCCTCATGTAGACGATCTGCAGATTTAGATGTTGCTTTGGGAGTAGGGTGTAACAAAATAAATGCCATGTGCTAAGGGAACCTTGTGTTTCAGGTGATGTAACTCAGCAGGAAGAGTAGGCTATTTGCTTGCACACTTTTTCGTTGCGGTGGCTACTGATCCCAATATCTGCCTCCCTGCTTCCATCGGTTTCAAATCTCAACACCTCAGCCAAACCAGAGAAGTGTTCCCAGCGTGCCCCATTGAGGCGATCTGCCACTGTCTCCAGGAACAGCGTCCAAGCTGCCTGATTTGTCCTTTCCTAAGCCACCTGCCTCTCAAATAGCTCAATGTTCTATTAGCTTGAAAACCTATTAACAACCCTTTTAATGAGGCGAAGTTAGGCAAGCGGGGGGGGGGAGGGAGGAAGAGAGAAGAGACAGTATCATGCTGCCAAGGAACCTTTCATCTCTCTGCCGCCAATTCAAACCCACAGCAGATCAGTGGTGGCCAAAAAAGGCCTTTTCCAGAACACATTTACATTGTACAAAGACTCACGCGCACGGCACAGCAGCTCCCTGGGGCGGTCCAGCCATAGCTTCCATTTTACGCGCAACAACAACAAAAAAGTGTATAAAATTTTAATGACAAGAAGAAGGCAAAATGATGGTTCCTACCACTCTTCAAGCAGGCAGCTACTGCGTATTTCAGATATATGCAGCAGGAGGTGGGGGAAAGCAGCAGAGAATAAAATCTTATACTTTTATCACAGGCCATTAGCTACTTTTCAGATAGAACATGGATTCTTTATGAACTATGTGGGGCAGGGGGAGCTAAGGTAAAGACCCTGGTCCAGCATCAAGTAGGGGAGGGATCATAGCTCATTGGCAAGGTGCATGTTTTGCAAACAGAATAGACCTCTGCCTGAGACCTGGGGTGCCACTCCTGGTCAGAGAAGGCAATATTGCCCTAGATGGGCAAACTCCATACAAAGGAACTCTGCTGGAAGCACATAACACCGGTCCCAAAAGAGCTACATGGGCTCCCAGTATATTTCTGAGCACAGTTCTAAGTGTTGGTGCTGACCTCTGAGGATGCACAGGGTGCCGCCTGCATTGCAGGGGGTTGGACTAAATGATCCTTGGGGTCCCTTCCAACTCTACAATTCTGTTACCACTTTTATCCCCAGTGGTCACACTTTACTTCCAGGTCAGCTCACTGCAGCCATAATTCTCTCCTCAATCCAGCCTCATCCCTGAGTTGTTCTTGTTCTTCCTGTGCAGCTGGCTACCCACACTCCCAAGCTAAAGGTTTGTTGTTTTTCAAGGACTCCTGCCCCGTCTGTTCCCTCGCTTTGCTGCACCAGAAGCCAAAACCACACAGGCATAAATCATGGCAAAAACGCCACTGCCCATATTTTCACACAAAACAACCTGGAACTTCCATTGCTCTTGAAGAACAAAAGGGCCATAAAATATTTCACGGAACGTCTATTTGCACCTGGCTGAAACGTATGTCTGCTGCAGCAAAAACAATATGTGATAGGAGTTATAGATAAAGATGAAAGTGTGGGGGGTCTTAAAGACAGTCTCGGGTCATACTGGCACATTAAGCAAAATATGAAAATGGCCTCCCATCAAGACTACAGTTCCTGAATCTGGAAGTGTCCCCCCCCCCCCCACGATTTAGCCGTGTGTTTTTCCAAGACCCACTGACTATAGAG